ATTAGCCCTTAACAACAAAGTTGCCAATAGACATGGTTCTACACCATTTGCTCTTATGTTCAATAGAACAATGAACGGTTTCAGGGACTATAGCAAAGAACAGATCCCGCGACCACTCACAGAAGATGAGCTGCAAAACCGCATTGAACAAATGACAAACATTGTCTTTCCTGCAATTTCGGAAAGAGCAAAGGCACTGGATGATATTAAAAAAGGCAAATACAATGCCAAGTTCAGAATCACCGATTATCCCATCGGAAGCACGGTCATGGTCATTGATGAATTACGCAGTAAGAAGATGGATCCAAGATATGAAGGACCATATACTGTAGTACGCAAAACCAAAGGTGGTTCTTATGTCCTTAGAGATGAACAGGGTCTATTAACTTCTCGTAACTACGCACCCTCACAAATGAAACTCCTATCACAGGATGAATTAATTGACACAGAAGAAGCATTTGAAGAAAACGGTAAATATTACACCGTACAGTCAATTGTAGACCACAAAGAGCTTGCACCAGGCAAATATCAATACCGGGTTAGATGGAAAGATTATACACCTGATGACGATTCCTGGGAACCAGCAGAAGCATTTAATAGTCCACAACCAATCATGAAATATTGGGAACGTGTTGGTATCACACCACCGAAGCAAAGCAAAATACAAACTGCATTACCTGTGACGCACATCCCACAGCAATCACAACGTAAAGCAAAAGGAACTATTTCCAAACGTCAAGAGGGTTCCACACCTACACCATCTACTAGACGCAGTAAGCGTTTACGCACACGTTGCTAAGCACATTCTTCACAGAATAATGTTTAACCTGGAAGGGGGTGATGTGGTGAACCACATTAATACACTGCTTAAGATATCAACAATAAGATATTCGGTTAAACATTATAGCACACACGTATGAACACTACGGCATTTCGGCTAAACACTATTGAATAAAATCTCTCACTCAGATGATCCACCTTACGTGAACAGGACAATGAACCTATCAACAGGTACCTCGGCCATTACATCAGCTAACGCCGGTTTCAAAGATGTGCCCGATTAACATAGCGACTTCAATAGAAGTTCTGATACGTCCTTGATCCATCCTCTATCACATAGTTTATCCATTAGTCGGATGAATTGATATCGCCGTCTTAATAGCTAGAATATAAAAGAGCTTTATCTTTTGTTGGAATAAAACATCATCTCAAAGATACTTAATCTTGTCCCTTATTATCTTTATTAAAGCTCTATCATCACAAAATTAATTTAGAGCTGAATACCATGTGTGGCCATATATTCATGTAGCATTTCCTAGGAATTAAACTTATCAACTGTTAACCAACTATTATCCTTTACACTATATCCAACCCACTTAACCTCAAATATGTACTTATTATCAGTATACACATGTCCTACAATCTTCTCAATTTCATATGAATTACTATGTTCTATATTTCTCTGTTCTCTTTGATTTTTTCTCTTACGTTTAGATGTATTATTTTCAGTTTCGTCCTCACTATCTATAGCCATATCTATTGATTGATTAATGTTAAGCTGTAGAAATTTCTGCTGCATGTCAACCATTTCGTTATATTCAGTATTTACTTTTTGCTCATTTGAAAATACTAAGTCAAGTTTGTTTTTCTTACTTAGGAATTCAAAATCTTTTCTATACCATAATTTATGATGTGGTTGTACCTCTATATTATACTTATTTACAAATCGCCATATATTACATAGTAAGAATACAAGCAACACGAAACTGAATATTATAATATCTTATATCAGATATTTGCAATGCTGCACGATTATTATTAAATCGTTCAAATTTAGAGCCTAACATAGAAAACTGTGCTTCTATTGCTGAACGAAATGATCCAAACTTGTTATTAAAGTATGTCTTATTGATTGTTAACTTTTGTCCTGGTTCTTTTCTTATGGGATGCAAAAAATTACAATCATAAAAACTATATCCAGCATCTATTGCATTATCTTTAAACTTTTGTATAAATAAATTATATCCACCATCCATTCCTAAACAATCTGCCTCACTTATTTTTTTATATAGTTTCATACTAATAAACATAGTACCATCATTTCTGATAGCATATTTTTTAGATACTGAAACATGTGTAATTATTTCATTCATATCCTGTATAACTTGTGTACGTATAGCCGGCCCTTTTATTTTATATGAATATAATTGTGAATGTGACTCATTTGGTTTATAATACTTTATTTTACTATCATGTCCATCAATAAATAGTGTAACATTCTTAAAACCATCTGGATTATTTATTATTGCTGATAGAATGTGAATACGTGGTGATGAGAACATACTATCTAGATCTTGTTTTACCTTTTTATTCAATTCTTTATAGTTAGTAATCCAGAACCGCTTATATAAATCATAAAATGTTGCATATAGCATAACAGTATGCATATCCTTTCCTGATACACCTGATACCATATGATATAATAATGCAAGTCCTTTTTCAATCTCGCGGTATGGCCCTGGATATTCAATATCTCCATATAAAACTGTAAGAAAATAAAATACAGGTATAAATCCAAATCTATTAAGTAATACATCCTTTATATCATTTATTGTATTATTCTTCATATCTTTAATAGCTGTTCTATGATTAAATCTATGTTGCATTTCAGGCTAAGATTTATCAAGAAAAGTCTATTTATTATCAATTAAATTTTTAATTTCAATATCGAGTTGTTCAGTGTGTTGTGTTGTGTTCATTTTTATTTGTTGTTATATACTTTAAACAATCGCTCTTTTTTTTCTCATGGGAGGCTACCAATATAAATAAAAAAATTCAATTTTTATTATTTTTATTGTAAATCAATAATTAATTCGGCCACTGATAGTTATACCGATCATAGTAATTTTATTATCTATATTACAGCTAGTAGATTATAATTGGTTAGACAACTAATAGTAGGACGCCTATAGGGATCTGCACGGTTCAGTTCAGTTCCCTTCAAGAACCGAACTGAACCGAACCGTCTAAAGCAAGAACCGAACAGACTAGAACCAACGAGAACCGTAGAACCGAAGAATCGAACCCATCATGTATATAAAAAAGGCAAGATTCGGTATCTTTAAATAGAAGCTGATGTGTGTGTTCAATGTCGCGGTATACTTGAATACTGCAGTAAAAAAGAATAGTTTATTATTATACATTGAACAGCGATCTCAAAATGAATACGAGAAACAGAATGTAAACATTCTTATACAATGGGGGTTAATCCTTAACTGTAAAACCTTACAAGGTTTTATTAATTAAGGGTATAACATTGTTTAAACATATATATAAAAAAATAAAAAATTAGATTATAATTTTTTTATTTTTTAAACGTTTAAGATAATTCTTTAAACATTTTTTAATTCGTATAATATGTTTATGTTTTGTATAAAGCAGGCTGTTCAGTACTTTATTAATTTTTTTATTTTTAATTTGTTTTATAAATTTAGTTATTAAGTTTTTATTTAAATAATAGATAATGATCAATATAATTAGGGGTGGTCAGAGAAAATCTTTGATTTTTGATGACGTTGTAGCTGGTCATTATGACAGTAGTCATAACCCTAGAATGATGGTAGTCATTCTAAATACTTGCCTACAAGTATCTCATAAACAGTGTTCTTGTAGAGAATTTTGGAACAAAATTTGATACATTCTTTTATACTAAAGGAACTTTAGGTCCTTTGTTTTGTAGAGAAATTTTTTTAAAAATTTTGATACTTTTTTAACATAATTATTAAAATTGAATTTTAATTTAATATAAAAATAAGATGCAAAAAGAAAATGAAAAATATTATGCTGTTGTTTTATCTATTGATTTAAAAAAAAAGAGATTGTTTGGGAAAGATATAGAATATATAAGAAGAAATATTTTAAAATGGTCAAAAAAGTTAAAAATTAAAGATATATTATATAATAGACCATATTATGATGAAACTATAAAAACAAAAAGACCTCATATTAATATGACATTAAAAAGTAATAAAAAAGAAGAAGAATTATTAAAAGAAGAATTATCAGGTGGGTATTAAGAAAAGGTTATGTTATATAAAAGAAGTTAAAGATTTAGTTAAATGGAGTAATTATTGTGGAGAAAATAAATATGATGAAATAGTTAGACAGTTTTTAGAAATAGACTAAATGTATAAATTGATTTCTAGAAGCAGGCTGTTCAATACTTTATTATTTCTTTATTTTTAATTTGTTTTATATATTTAGTTATTAAGTTTTATTTTTAAATAATAGATAATGATCAATATAAGTATTGGGGTTGTACGTCTTGCCATTTGTAGCCCAATTAAAGTATTTCGGTATGCTTGCAGAGTCTTTTCCATTTTCTGCTTGGCAATGCTGGCTAATTCAATCAAGGGGATCAAGTAGAGCACAAAGTCGTCCGAGCACGTTGGATATGATATGGGTCTGATTCGTCGAACCCTCGAGACGTAACCCTTTGGAACATCCATGTCCAGCATAGTGATTCGGTTGCCTGTTTCAGTTTATTGTAATATTGGTTTTTCCATATGACTCGCCCTCAACTTGTTTATCATTTTGCGTGCGAGGCAATTTCATGCGAGGTGAAGAATACATAACACCACTAGCATAGAATTATCCCGTATACAAAATAAAAAACAAGTATCAAGCGAGGACAATAGGAGCAAAATCAATGAGAAATGGTCCACAGGTTAGTATCACTACATGTCTGAATGTATGTTGCTGAACCTCTTACCATGAATGGCATATCCAACGATTTCAACCTTGCGAATCAGCTCGGGTGCTTCTTAGACAATCTCCCAAAGTTGGTCTTACATGACAACGGGCATTTTCACCATACCATCTTTCCATTCCTTCGTCTGATCTGCTTCGCTTACAACTTCCATGCACCCCAGTTCCTTTCTACCACTGATATAAATGGCATCCATTTTTCTTCCCATCGCCTTTCGTTGAACTTCTTCAACTGCAGAAAGTTTGCGCTTGCTATTGGATGCTGTTGCGTTTGCTTTGCTGGACTTTTCTTTGCTGTATGATATATAAAAACACAATCATTGAAATAATGCATTAGTTCATATGTTATTAAAGTGATGGTGTGCATAATTGCTATCGCATACCTGTAAGCGGTGATCGGCGAGCCAATGAAGACAGTGTTGATGAAGCCCCACATCTGGTACTGTTTGTCGGACTCAAGATATCCTTCCTTGACATCAGCATGCTTCATGCAAAGGAGCGAAACAGACATCAAAGTCATCGTCAACCATACGAGAAGAGGATCATCGATAGGATCGTGGACAATCTTCTGTGCATATTTATAAACGTCCTTGGGCGTTTTCTACAAATAGCGATATAATACCAAAAGGGTTAAGAACATACCACAATCATCATAATCCGTGTTTGTTTTAACTTACTACTGTTTGAAGAAGTTCGGTCAACTTATCAGCGATGCATTCGGTCACAGGCAACAACAGCGGGTTGCCATGATCTTCTTCTAATTCGCCCAATTCGTCTGTGGTGAAAACGCTTTCCCAATGATCGTCTTCAATATCAAGGATTAATGATTGACTTGGGCTGGTGTAAAAATGAGTAATTTAATTTGAGCATCCATGGTTAAGCATAACATATCAAGGAAAAGTTTTTTTTTTTTTTACTTACGGGTGGTAGTTGCATTTTCGTGCGAATTCCATTATTTTTTCTTCAACTGCTTTGGGCTTCTCCTTCTTTATTGCGGCTTCTTTTTCTGTTGCTTTGAGTGTCCAGAACTTTTCCAGATCCAGTTTTGCGAACATCTTGTCAATTTGTTGTTTTTCTTCTTTGGTCAACAATTTGCTCGAAGCTGTTGATGTTGATTTTGCCTTGGCTTTGGGACTTATTGATGGTGTTGCAGGTTTTGTTGTTGTGACAGCAGTGGCTGGGCCATTTCCTTGCGTTACTTCCATTTTGTCTTCTAGTTTCTTTTTGATATTTTCAAAGGATGGCTCAGCTCGAATCTGATAAATATATGATTGAATGTCAATTGTATCAGTAACACGTACGTATATAATTATATAGCATTTCATTTTTAATTGTAATAACGCGTACAAGAGTAATTTCAGCATCGCACGTGGCTCTTTCCAGCTCGTATATCCAAAATGATTTGAGATCATCGATTGCGTTTTCTTTTGTTGCATCGCAACTGCTGACAATATCATCGGCGAGGTGATCGATGATTTGTTGGTAAGAGATTTTTTTTGTTGTTTTTGAGAGTTCGGAGATTGCTATTTTGGATATTAAAAGAGTGTCAATGCTATTTGTGAATAAATCAGAACTAGATACACACCTTTTTCAACCAAGCTGTGTTCTGTCATATTGGGTTCGACCCTGTCGTTGTCGATGAAGTTGCAATGGAAATACCAACAAAATAAACGTTAACAATAGTTTTTAGATGTATTTATGAGAGGTTCATGCTAGTTATATTGAAACTCCTCGGTATACGTACTTTTTGCTTTGATAATAAAACTTCAAAAACCATAGGAAGTAACAAGACACAATATTTTGCGCGAAGGGAAGAAGGAAAGAAAAGGGGAAAAAAATTTATTGCTATCAGTGGCTAAATGAGTGAAAATTTTTCTTAGCTATTCCATTCTTGGGAGGTCGATCCACAGTTTTCCTTTTGCCCTTTTCGAAGAAACGCCATTTTATTGTTGGATTTAACCCAAAAGTTCACAAAAATGTGTAAGTAAATAATAGTACCATGACACCATTATAATTAATTTAATAGATTGATGTTACGATTGATATGATATTCATAAAAGTAGCATCCTTTAATCTTAACTCCATATGAAATAGTTATTAAGCTTCTTTTTACAATCTTTCTATTTAATACTAAACCCTTTAATCTGGCATACTCTAAATCACATTCCTCTATTTTCTTAATTTCTTCATTAATAGGATTTAACATTAAACTATAAAGATCATTAAGATCATCTTTCATATCAGATTCAACTAAATTAACTTTACTAGCTAGATCAAAATCAGAAATCATTGCAGCTAAATGTTGTACACCATTACATGTTGCATCTAAATAAATTGGTAAACTAGAAATAAAGTTTAATGGATCCTTATTATAACCTTGTAACTCAAAACAAAAAGCTAAAAATAACATAGGTTCATTAGCTTTTCTCCATAATCCTGAATTTAAATTTAAGATTTTTGAAAAATGTTGATCAACCCATTCTAATCTTTTGGTAATAGATAATTTATTTAATTCAAAAGCATTTGCTCTATAAACCTTTAATGAATTTAATCCATTTTCAGATAATACATTACCTTTTTTGAATAACAATAATGATCTTGCTAATTCACCACCTTGGAAATTTAATTCACCCCCTTGGCAATAAACTCTTCCTCTCTAGTCTAAAAAGAAAGTAAAATAAAATTGTTCAACATCTCTATAAAGTTTAGCAATAGTTAAAATTGAATTATTATATAAGAATTTACTATTATAAGATGTAATTTCAAATTCTTTTTCTTTATTATTCTTTTTAATAATCTCACTCATTTCATCTGTCTCCTTATGTAATGTTCTAATAATTAAATCATCATTAAGTGGCAGATTCATTAAAAGATCTAATACTTTAAGATAAATATTGAAACCAATAGATGACATATAATTAACCATTTTAATTGTCATTTTATTTATAAATTTAATATTTGACTCAGTAAATCTTTTACTTCTAATTAAAGGATTAAAATTCTTAATATTATTAGTATTATCATTTAATTCCCAATAAATAGGTGGATATACTATAGGTAATTCATGACCATCAATCATACCTAAATATTTAATATAGTTTTTCAATTGGTAACTAGGAATAATTTCTCTATGAGTTTTTTTACTTTTAACATCATATCGTTCTAAGATATTAAAAAGATCACTTTTCATATCTAAATAACTAATAACAGTACCACCAATATTAATAAAATTCTCTTCATTCATTGTAAAATTTTTTAAATATAAATTAAAAGTTACAATATCCTTAGATTTATCATCAACTTCTTTAATATATTTTTGATATAAACATTCTTTATATAAAGTTTTTCCTAATCTATGAAATAAAGTAGTAACTGATTGTACTTTATTATCTTCATATTTCATAATAAAGGGGATTAACAAACTTAAAATCAAGAACAGCATCAAGGATTTATCTATTTCTTTAAACATAAAAAGATATTTTTTGTTTCTAATATATTTTTCATTTTCAAAATACATTTTTAAATCGTCTTCTAAGAACTTATAGTTATTTAAAAGTATTCTAAACCTAGGATTTGTATTTAAGAAATCCTTAGACTTACTCATTTTTTCTAGTTTTTTCAACCATAAAGAATGTAATTTTTCTTCTAAATTTAATTGTTTTTCTTTAAGAGATAAAATATCGTTTGATAAAATTTCTTTAATAGTAATATAACCACTAGAATTTTTATTTGTAAGAGAAAAATCTTTTAAATCATTAAAAGTTGAATTTAAAATATTATTTTCTGAAGGGTTTTTATTTATACATACAACTGAAGGTAATAAAGCTAAAAGTAAATTATCCGGAGTATTAATCTAGATATTACTAGTAATTAAACCATCAGGTGTTTTAATCCTGATGTAACTTGAAATAAGCTCTGTAAAAGAGTTTAAATCGCAGGTATTCGAAGGGAAAATAGGGCAATCGCTAAAAATATAGAATAAGTTTGTAAACATCATATTTTTAAAGTAAGTAAGTAATTAGATAGTATCTAATTTTTAGTAATGATTTATTTAGTTTCAACATTAATTATCTCTACTTACAGGATTTTTCATCTCCTAGCGGACGTTTGAACTTTTATTTAGGCAGAGTGGACATGAATGTTAGTCTGTGTGGACATGAATGAAAGTTAATCTGGACATGAATAATAATTGATCTGGACATGAATGAAAATCGAGCTAGACATGAATGAAAATCGAGCTGGACATGAATAAAAATCGATCTAGACATGAATGAAAATCGAGCTGGACATGAATGAAAATCGAGCTGGACATGAATAAAGATCGATCTGGACATGAATATAAAACGATCTAGACATGAATATACATCGACCTGGACATGAATATAAATCGATCTGGACATGAGTAAAATCAATCTGTACATGAATGAAAATCATTCTGACAAGAATAATAATCAATCTAAACATGAATAATAGACAACCTGGACATAATAACAGTCAACCTGGACATAGTTTTAGTCAACTAAGACATAATAAAAGTTGAAGTAGATAATATATTAAGTATAGCAGAGCAGAATATATGAGTACTTAAGATTTTCAATTCAAGTCAAGACATAATATAAGTTAAGCAGTACAAAGCCAATGTCAAGATATAGTAGTATGGCTGTTTCACTCGTGACAAGAAGCTTGTAGGCTAATGTACAGGAAATGGCAAGGGTGCGTCAGAGACTCACTGTGCGCATAAGGCATAAGCCTATTTTGCTGCTGTGGGAATAGGGCCTGAGCGTTTCCCCTCATTTCACTTTACCCGGGTTGAGTTTGAAACAATTTGGAGGCTGGTGGCAGAGGTAGGTGGAAAGTGTGGGGTTTGTTAGCAGCAGCAGGGAGGGAAAAAACAACAACTAAAGATCCCTTTTTTTTTCTCATTACCATTCGCCATGGCAAATCAACAGCTTCGACGCACACTTGTAAATGGCTCCTACTCTCTTCACGATGATTAAAAAACAAAGAAAACAAAACGGCACAATCCACGGATTTATTGAAAAACGAAATGAAGGTAACTGTTTTCTTAAAAAAGCATGTGCTCAAGATTTATAAAGGAGTAGACCGCCGTTACTGCTGCTTAAAAAACGCTGGGTAAGTAAACAAGGGAAGGGAAAGGTTACTGGTTGTGCTTGGGGTATAGCTTTAGTAGACATACGCTCTTTCCGAATTACTGTTTTTTTTCTTCTCTGTATATACTTGATGCACCATCTTACACCATTCCAACGTCAGACTTACGTGTGTAATACAACATCGTCCTCTACCTGCACAAACCATTCGTACTCACAACAAGAACGACGCAAAAATTTTCTTCTCCATTACTCATACACAATTATATACAACATGACGCTGATCCGCCATTGACTTGCAAAATATACAGCCTGACGCGATTACTTTTTACCTTTTGCATATACTAACGTTAACATCGCCGGTCTTTATGGAAAATGAACTGTAGATAGCAGGAAGGATAACTGACGGGTTTCTTTCCTTTTGTGTTGCTGTGGATTGGATGAAAATAAAGTATGTTGACCGTTATATAAGAAAGATAACGAAGAAGGTTCTACAAGAGTTATGCAGGTGCGAAGGATGTTGTTTCGTGGTAAAGGATGGTTATTGTAATTATTGGTATTGCGTGGCAGAGCGTCTGATGCCACTCACAGTCTCGCGTTTGTGAACCTATTTGTAGCCACACAATTCCGAGATGCGATCCTTAAAGATCTGCCATTGAGCAGTAAGAAGGCGCACGATTTCATTGGGAATGAGTGCAAGAACTCCACGTACAGTCGAGTGAGAGAGAGCGTAGCGAATGTTGTCAAGGGTAGTAACTTGTTGGTTGTTCATAGTTGTTGTTATTAATAAAAAATAAACTTGCTGTTGTAATAGCAAAGGAACTTCCTCCTTCATAACAACGAACGCCTTTTCTTCTTTGTCCCTGCCATATTATCATCCCGCTGACAGCTATATCTATAGTTTTTATAGAAGCACTTGTAATAACATGCAATCCCATCTCACACCCGTTTATGCAGACAACTGAAACATAATGACTACATAATGTATGATCTTTTACTTTTATTTTTTTCATCCCAACCATAATATCTACAGTAACAATAATAAAACCCTACATACCACCCATCAGCATATATAGCTACCTTATCCATCAAGACCGGCAATGTTCGTGTTGGCATATGCAAAAAGAAAAAGGTAATCGTTGTTGCCATCGTGTGTGTGCGAGTACAGCGAATTGCAGAGGAGGATTATAGTTGTGGTGGTGTGTATGCATCATAGGAATATAATTATCATCGCAGTGATGTGAATACAAACAGCAAAGAAAGAGATGACCGTCATTACGATGATGATGTGCTTGAGCGTACAAGTATTAAAACAAAAAGACCGGCGTCATAGTCGTCATCGTGTAATATGGGCGTACATGATAGTGAAAAATAAATGCGTCAGGCTGTATATTTTGCAAGTCAATGGCGGATCAGCGTCATGTTGTATATAATTGTGTATGAGTAATGGAGAAGAAAATTTTTGCGTCGTTCTTGTTGTGAGTACGAATGGTTTGTGCAGGTAGAGGACGATGTTGTATTACGCACATAGGTTTGACGTTGGATTG